GTATGCGACTCCTTGGTAATTATTCACGAAAATACCATCGAATGTGCTAATAAGCATCTGAATGAATGTATTACTAAATCCACTAAAAAGTATCTTGCATATTCTAATCCTATACGAAAGAATGTGAAAAAAGGAGGAGCGCTAAGCCGAAAGAGTGTATCATCGCTCAGTTCTGATAGAGTTGATGAGATTTATCTAACATATTGTTTTATATTCAGAAAAGGCTTGAATAATTATACTTATGAACATTCAAATGAAATTAAGAAAAGGATTGTAAATCGCTTAATTAATAATGTAAGAGTTATCCAACAGGCTTGGAGGAGTTACAAGAAGAGACCTGCATCATTCGCATCTCAAATTTGGAATGTGCTGAGAAATGATGGTACTACTGATGAGGAGAAGTTTTTAGGTGGCGATTGGGTAAAAGATAAGAAAATTCAATTATTTGTAAGATTCCACAAAGTATCAGTAAAAATGATTGAAATTTCTGAATATTATCATAGACAGGTAACTGCTTATCCGAATAAACCACGTGATGAAATTATCTGGTTAGCATATTCACATTTTAGACTGGATAATTATATTGGAATGAATGTATATGTATAATAGTATAAGGGAATACATCTCATGTGACTCTCCGACAAAATTCCCAGCTCTTATCCAGTTGTATAATGTGACTAGATATGAATAATAATTGTGAATGAATTTTTCCAGATTAGTCCTTAACCCAGATCCCGAATATTGCCTCCACACCTTATGGCCTAGGCATGTGTGACATAAATTTTTGATCCATCTAGCGTGTCTCTTCTTATTTATAAAAAGGCCATAAATGTATTATTTGTATTATAATAAAACTGACCCTGGTGGTCTATTTTTTAAAATTTCATGGAATTCCATTTTTTTTTGCGCCATGTATAAATATATAATGGCATTTAACCAAGCATATTCTGAATTGCTAGCCAAGTTACCAGCTTCCATAATAAATGAGGCATGGATTCGTTTCACATCACGGAAACGTAAACCATTATCTGAGAAAGAGGCCAGTGAAATTAATTTGGTATGACTCTTGATTTTCTAAAAAATCTTTACATTCACTTAGGTGGAATTGGTGCCCCTCTTTTTTATATGCATCTCTTAATGATTTGGGATTAGAATGATAGCCAGTTGGGCGATAATATATTTCACGCAATATGATATTTTTTCAATTCTCTGAGCCTCAATAGGGTCTATCAAGATTTGTAGTTGGCTCATTCTGATTCTCTTTTATAATCACAAAAAGAATGGCATTTCGGAGGTCCCATCCAAGGCAGAGAAGAACATGTGAAGAATATAAAGCTGAGCTGGAGGAGGAGAACTACCATTTTCGTAGTGAATTGCAAGCAGAAGTTGATAGTAACTGCCAAAATGAAAAGCAGATCAGGGAGCTGGAACGTGAATGTGTCCGTTGTGAACAAGAAATCCAAACTCTTAATGGTGAGATAAAACGTCTTGAGAATGCTTCGAAAGAGGAGATAGTAGAGCTAAAATCTGAAATTTCCAGCCTAAAAAAGCAACTATATCAAGCTAAGAAGGATATTCGTGATAATGAAAAACATATTTCTAGTATAGAGAGTCTGTTAGTAAATTCCGAGGAGCAGGTAGAGAAATTGTGATGTCAGATCAGAACCATCTCATTACAAAAAAATTCGCCAGAACGAGGGAATTCTCCAGACTTGTATAATCCTAATATTAACTTAGAAATGGCTACCATCACAGAGCTAGTAAATGCTATAGATGGTTATCTGAATAATACAACAATAGGTAGAAAAATCTTAGCTGATCAAATAAAAAGGGCGACAAGGCAGATTTGCCGAAAAGAGAATAATTTGCATCAGGATTTAGTCCGTGAGCAAAGAAGGCGCTATGATGCAGAGGCTGAGCGTGATAATGAAATTATACAAAGGCAAAATGCTGAAGGAGTAGAACAAATGGTTATTGCTAACCTTTGTCAGTTGCGGACCAATGCTTGAAATCAAGTAAATAGAATGTTAAACAATATAACAGGAAAGCGAACCCATATTGGTATATTGCTACAGGAAAAATTTGCCTTACAATTGCTATATCAGCGAAATGCCCATCACTTACAGCGAAGTAGAGGGAATATAGCCCTATGAAAAAAAATCATCCAATTTTTGTATGATATTTGTTCAAGTCCGTGTGGAAATTGTACAATTATTGCAGATTTTTGGATAAAAATAGCTATGAAGTTTTTCAAAGCATATTAAAAGTATGCAATTTTTGTACAACTTAAATTTAGAATATAGAAAATGTTCAATTTTTGTGTGATCTTTATACAACTTAAATTTAGGATACAGAAAACCTGTCTCTTATACACATCTAGATGTGTATAAGAGACAGCATATTTGCTTATAAACGGGCATCTTCTGGACCCATTGGTGAAATTTTTGTATCATCTTGTAACTAAAAAAAAGTCAAAAACTTTTTATTAGGTTATACAATTAGTTCTGACCGGAATTATAATTTGGCCAGAATTATGCGGTAAAAATCAACTCTTAAAATTATATATGTTGATCACGTGATCTGATCGTCAAAATAAATATGACGACGCGAAATGTTTTTGTTTATGTTTTTTTAACCTTTTAACTTTTCTTCAACTTTCTTTTAAAATATCAGGTAAGAAAAACTTGTGTTCTTTATCTTTTTATTTTCCTAACTTTTTACATTTTAATGTTACTAACTTGCTTTCTTCACTAACTTCATACTTTTTTTTTATTACTAATACTAATAATTTACTTTTTAACACTACTAATTTGCTTTCTTCACTAACTTCATACTTTTTTATTACTAACACTAATAATTTACTTTTTAACACTACTAATTTGCTTTCTTCACTAACTTCATACTTTTTTATTTAATACTAATAATTTACTTATACTAATAATTTACTTTCTTCTTTGATACTACTAATTTACTTTCATGTTACTAACATACTTTATTTTATTTTATTTTCTTACAAATTTTTATATTTATGATTATATCAAATTTAGTATTTTATTTATGAAATATTGTGTATATTTTTTATATTTTAAGTCAATAAAAATTTATAATTTTACTTTATAAATTGCCTGTTATTACTGTAAAATTTAACCTATAATTCCTAAAATATGGCCTAAAATTTGGCTCAAAAATCACACAATAATTGTATAAATTCAGGTCAAAAATAGGATAATTATTGAATGAATTACCATGCAATAATTGTGTGATTTATTGCAATTTTTAGCACAATTATTGTATGGTCAAATATACAGAAATCATAGTGAATTTAATTGAATGATTTTTCAACAAAAATCACACAGACTTTTTTCATAGGGTAGGTCTATTAGAATTTAATCGTGACAGGCTCTATGAGCGATACGAGAAATGGAAAAATAAGACCCAAGCTGAGCAACAGAATAATTTAAATTTGCAGGGACAAATTTTGGCGCTTCAGAATAATCCACCTAATCAAGTAAACATGGCAGGAATACCTCATCCATATTTTGACTGGGATGATAGTATCCCAGACTTTCTTGCACAACTTAGACTAGACTTGCAGAATCGGGGAATAAATCCAAATGATAATGTAGCAGGTTCTCCAACAGGAAGAGATAATGCAATAGGACATTTAAGAGCCTGTATGAGAGAAAGGACTTTAGAATGGTTTGATGATGAGATTACTACAAAGCAGAATTGGAAGCTAACTAACTTACTCGATAATACAGGGCAGGCTAATAACTTAGTTGCAGTAAATGGGCGAACTGCAGTACAGATAGGAGCTAATGCATTAAATGAGGCTGTTGGCCAACCAGGAAATGCAATAGTCAAGTTAAGAGTTGTAGAAGATGCTTGGAATGAAGACTGGTGTATAGCAGGTGGCTGTCCTACTAATGCTCCTGTAAATGCACCAAATACTAATGCTGGAAATACAGTAGTTGTAGCTGGTATTCGATTTGGTCAAGCCGTATGGTGGCTAAAAACTCATTTTCCTACAGTAAAAGAGGAACTTCAGGATTTGATGTATGGAACAATCAGAAAGGGAGACATGACTATAGATGAATTATATAGAAAAATATTACGAATAGGTAGACAAGCAAACTATAGACCTGAAGAATTACGTAGAAAGTTCTTAGATGCTTTACCACTTTTATGGCTTGAAAAAGCTGAAGATATTGGTGAACATTTGCCATTAGATGAATTAGCTAAAAAGCTTTATGAGATAGAATTATGCCGAATAGCTAGACATAAAAGAGATAGAACATCTGATCTGCTAGTATCTAATCGAGCATCTCGGCAAATATATGAACCTTCACCTGTTTTAGCCCTGCAACAACAAGAAATATCTTTAGAAGATATGCAAGAAGCAATTCAGAATGCATTAGCACAACAAAAAACTGAAAACCAGACATTAGTAAAGAAAGTTACAGAATTACAATCTCAAATAACTCAACAAGCGCAAGTACCTGCTCCACAAACTGTTAAACCCATTAGACAGCCGAGAGGTCCACCATCTTCATTGAAAACAGAGGAAGGTCTCAAGAATTATTATGTATCAGAATACTTAAAAGAAATAGGTTTATTAAGTAAGGAAGATTTAGACTCAGATTATCCTGTAAAAACTTTTCAAAGACCTCGTACACAGAGAAACAATAATTCTGCTAGATTTGATAGGATTGAAGAAGGACTTGAAGAAACTCGGAATAATGTAAATCAGTTAGCTGATCTATTTCAGAAAAAAGCATTTATACAAAAATGTGGAATTTGTGGAGAAACAGGCCATAGCAAAGGAAGTTGTCCAAAAAGACCAATAGCTCAATCTAAATTCACTTGGTCATATTTTACGCCTCTTACACCTATAGTTCCTCCCGATTCAGATGATGAGGAAAATGGTGGTGGTAATTATGATGAGGATGATAATAGATGGATTGGATATGATCTACCAGTAAAAAAAAACAGGTAAATGAGCCGAGAGGCGCTTCGCATAAGTTGGCCAGTGATACTAATACAATCTTACCTCTAGAATCTAGCCAACCTGAAACATATGATCAGCTATTGTCTAAGCTCTCACCACCAATACGAAAAATGTGCTTATCTCGAAAGGCTCAGGAGGAGAAATTGAAAGAATCAGATGAGTGGTTATCATCTTTACAATATCTGAATGCTATTATAAATGACTTAACTATTTCTGAATCTTTTTTAGATAGCGCCAGTGAGTTTGGTGGTATAAATGACCCAGCAATCAAGGCGTTTGGATGGAAGGCTGATAAACCATCTAATTTTGCTATAAAGGGCAATTCCAAGCATATCACCGATTCATTAGGATGGTATACAGACGTGCCAGTTACTTTGAAGGATAAAGAAAATAAGACGGTTACAGTTATTGGAAATTTTGTTCATATTGATAATGGTGAAACAGAACTAATGCTATTTTTTGGTATGTCAAACATTCGAAAGGTTCAAGGTGTCCTTGAGTCAAATAAAAACCAGTTTCGCATAAAGTTACATGGAAAGGTATATATTATCCCAACCTTTAGCAAGGCTCCAGTAGTCAAGGATCTGCCAAAAGAGGAGCAGGACCAAGTATCCACCGATTCCTCTAGTCCGACTAGAGAAGACTTAAAAAAAAGTGTGTAAACTGTACAAAGCTTGAAGAACATCTTGCAAAGGCTGAAGAGTGGCTTAGTAAGGCAATAAGCGCCATAAAAATACTTGCTGAAAAGTAGTAAGAATATATACATCCTCCGCCTCTGACGCTAATTCAAGGAATGGAATTACCGATGTCATCCATTTTTTTTAATACTTTTTCAAGTTCAGATCCCATCTTAGATATATTATCATTAGAGGGAGTATGGTTAATAGTATTATCCGTCTCAGTAAAGGCTACACTCGTTTTACTTAACTTCTTTTTTCGGCTATTTTTCTTTAGTGGTAAGTCATGTGGAGAGGAAGTAATACCTGAGACCCCTCCTATTTTGGCAGATGGCATTATAGCAGATCTATCTGAGACCACTCTTTCAGATCCAGCAGAAATATCAGCTATTGGTTGATTCCAGGCAATTCTATTAGCTTCTTCACCTTTTCAAATCTGATATATGCGCTTCATTGATGTATTATATTTGCCTATCAATTCATCTAAAACTTTCTTCCTCGGCCTTTCATTTTCACGTTGCATAATAAAATCATAATCGGTTGGTGAGAATGGAGGAGCATTACAATTCATACGTTGTCTAACCATAATCTCGCTGGTGTATTTTTTTTCAGATAAATTATTTCAAAAAATATTTAAATATGATGAATAGAAACAATGTATTCTTTGAGATAAATAAGATAAGCGTAGTCTTTTTAATATTTAGAAAAAATGTATTATTTCGAAAATAATTTAATAGAATAAATAGGATAAATACATTAATTCAAAAAGAATTATTGGGATAATTAGAATAAATTTATCATTTTGGAAATATAGGAAGAGCATGATATTATTTTGAAAAAATATTTTTTTTTATTTTTGTCTATATTTGCGGGATAAAAAACTATGCCTCGAATCTATACCTTGAATGATGTAGGTAATAATGATGGCAGTAAACTTGGAAGCCCTCCATCCAATCGATATCCACCTAGCCGTTTAGAACTTGAAGAACAGCTAAAAAAAGATTGTGAAATATTTATAAGATCTGCCAAACAGCTTATAGCTAAATATCATGCCTTAGATAAAAAAAAATAAGTGTATGCAAAATGATCTAGATCACTTACATGAAGAAAATAAGCGTATGCAAGATTCTATGAATCAATTTATCCTCTATCTAAGCAACTAAATGGTTTGAATAATAAGCTTGTCTTCCAAATTACTTGTGAACGAAAGTCTCATGTTGATCTTAATGCCAAACAGTTAAAAGAAATAGAATCGCTAAAGTCTAAGATTAATTTAAAGGATTCTGAAATTACCTCTCTTGAGGTTAGAATAAATGAACTGGAGGCCCGTCTTCTTGCAAGCTCAAAGTCAGAAAAATTATGTGAAAATTTTACCTATGATCCCTCCTGCAGTTCGATAGAACAAGAGAACAATTCCTCTCTTGAGATTAGAGTGAAGGAATTGAAAAATGAACTGGAGAAAGTTACGCAAAATTCATCATTTAAGGATGGATTAATTTTCTGCCTCAGGTCTAGGGTAAGTGATCTAGAGCGCAAAGCCAAAAAAGATGAACTAGATCAGTTTGCTTCACAATTGCATCAGATATCTCATGATTCAAAAATAGGTAGTGCAGAAGCGGATTATGAGACTAAAATTTCTGAGACATTATGTTCCAGAAAAAATTTGCCCATAGAAAATCCATCATCCAGCAATTATAAGTATAGTGCGTGAAACAGTAGAAGAGATACCCCATTTTTCTTCACACTGCTCAGAGCGCGAGCCTAATGGAAAAGGAGATTGTAATAGTATTTCAGCTGTACCTATTATTGCGTTAGGAGGTAGTAACCCTGATCAGTATATAATCCCGCTTATATTCTTGTTTATTATATTAGCCTTCATAGTGATATTAATTATATGGTATATATATGGACGAACTTTTTGTCCAACCAAAAAGAAAGAAACTTTTTATCCAATCTATAGAAATCATAGTTATGGATTCCCAATCCAATACACAGAAGAACCAAAAAACAGGACTACCCCTATGAAACTTTACCTTATGGATATAGATGAGGCCATAAAGTACGAATCATCCCGAATTCAGTCGCATCCTGCAAGTCCATTATGAACTTTTCGTATGCTAGTCACTGGGATAAGTGGATCAGGTAAGACTAATATTTTGGGAAATCTTTTTCTTGATGATAAAGCTGAATATATATATAAAGGTAAGAAAGGTAGAGCTTTTCACTGGATTATCCTATGAATAATTTAGGATAACCCATTGGGAAATTTGAAGATCCGGATATCCTGCCAAATTAGGATAACGGGTAATCCGAGTAATCATCCTAGGATAATTCAAATTATCCTAGGATATAATTGGAACGTAATTACGTAAGTACGTAACACCATTTTTTTTTATTTTTTTTTCGTTGTCAGATTGTCAGAAGCCTTCAAACTGGAAATGTGTCACTCACGTTAGCAGACGAAATCAAAAAATATAAAACAGATGCTCTTATCGAATTTTTACAGAGAGAAGAGGACTTGGAGCTTGATGACTTGAAAGTTATTCGCGAAGAAAAAGTTAATGGGCGTGACTTTCTCAAGTTAACCGAAGAAAAACTTGAGTGACATGGAATGAAACTGGGACCTGCATCGAGGCTTGCAGACTTCATTAAGGAGTGTAAGGAGAAAGAAGCGCTCATTTTCCTCGTATAAGACTCAGAAAGACTTAAAAGAGGTATTAGCAAAGTATGGGATTGATGGTAATGGGATAGGTGCAATCCGTCAATTTCCACCAAGTGAGTCCTATCTTCTCAGTTTATTATTTACAAACTATTACGTGAGTTGATGGGCTAATTTTAATGTTCCACTTTCTAGAAACATATACACTCGAAGACGATGATGAGGAATTGAAACAATGTATAAGGG